CCGTTATGGTGGTTTAGGGATTCGCAAAATTTCCAGTGTCGCTTTACCAGCCTTTCTATCTTCTGTCCATAGTTCAGCAAATCTCATAAGTAAAATTTTAAGGGCATCCCCTTCAAACTTTGAGATTGCTGGCTTGGAAGAAGCTAGAAACGCTTTCTTGATTGCATGCCCAGGTCAAAATTTTCCATTATCTCTAAATTCACAGAGGAGCTGGGATGACATACACTGCAAGTTGACTTTTGACGATCTTTTGAGTCGTAGTACGGGTTCGGCGCGTGCTAGGCTTTTGGCCGTGGGCACGCATGAGGCCGGCTACTGGCTTCACGCTTACCCATCGTCAAATACAGGAACTTTTCTTGAGCCTGACACGCTTCGAATCGCAACCTGTCTACGGCTTGGGGTTCCGGTCTGCGCTCCTCATATATGTCCCTGTGGCAGTGATGTCGACAAGTTAGGACATCACGGCCTGTCATGCCAAAAAAGTGCAGGCCGCTTCTCGAGACATGCCGCACTTAACGATATCATACGCCGTTCCCTTGCCACCGTCAACGTGCCAAGTCTTCTTGAGCCAAGTGGTATTGCAAGAGACGATGGCAAGAGACCGGACGGTATGAGTTTGATTCCATGGAAGATGGGTCGGGTACTGGTATGGGATGCAACCTGTTCAGACACGCTGGCCCCTTCCCATCTACATGGAACCAACTACAGAGCTGGTGCGGCTTGTGAAGCGGCTGAAAAAAATAAAGCAGGCAAATACAGGGGTCTGGGCTCTGAATATGATTTTGTCCCATTCGGTGTCGAGACCCTTGGTCCGTGGGGTCCTAGCGCTTTAAGGCTTTTTAAAGAAATTTCAAAAAGGTTAGTCGACATCACAGGAGACCGAAGATCTGGCAGCTACCTCGGACAAAGAATTAGTCTAGCAATTCAAAGGGGGAACGCTGCCAGTATCTTCGGAACCTTGCCTAAAGGGACTCCTTTTAATGATATATTTTAGTTTATGTTAAGTTTCGTTATTTATTTCAATGTATATTATTTTATAGAGGTTGTTTATACACTAAGTAACTTAATGTCAAAATCAAATGTATTTCAGACTAAGCTTTATTCAGTGCTTCAGTGTATAAATCCTGCAATTCCTTTTCAATAATACCATCTTTATGATATTTTTAATAGGGTTCTTTTAGATGTGACACAAATAGCAAGCATATGATGCATATGTTGGTACGATCTTTAACTATACATCTTTTGTATTGTAATAGGCCGTGGCCAGATGAACCGATCAAGTGAAAGGTGAGTATTTCACTTGATCTGTCCTTAAAACTTTTCACTGTAAGACAGGAACTGGACAGAAACCGGTGAAAACAGATTCCGTTCCAGATGTCTCCTTGCTGACCACAACTCTCAGATATGAGCTACCGACTGATAAGACTGAGATCGTAATGAACGTAATACGTATTAAATTATTCAACTACAATTTACATAGATCTGTTAACTATCCACTGATCTCAGTATCCATTATATTGGGCGTTGGTCTAACTAGTATATACATTAATGTAGACACATTGTGTTGGAGTTCGGCCTTCGAGACGGCTCCAGTTTATCTAATCGCTATAAGCATATGCCTTGCATCAATTTTCCAGCATGGGTGCACCTGGGCACGCGTCAATATGACATATCGTCCTATTTTGAAGCCACATGTTAAAGTCATTACTTCTCATTACACGACTGCCTTCCATGTGTCGTTTGTTTTAATCGTTTTTGTGATTGTGCCAAAATTTTCGCAATATACATTTACTTTATTTCTCAAGGAAAGGTAGCAATTTTTGTATTAATTCCTATGGTTAGGAATGTTTAGGGGTCGTTGCGTATCTCATGAAGCGACTCCAAAAACCCAAAGATGGGTTCAAACCCAAATTATTTACATAAAACGACCACATAGCCTGGACTTGTTTGAGCTATCGCGGAATATGCTTCAAAGGAGTATTGAGAATATCCATAGCGCTAAATCACACCATGAGCACACCCCACATACACCCCCTCATGAACATACCCTCACTTTCACACCATCACATACCACACCCGAATTAGGTATTACCTAGTTGAAGGTATTTGATAAGTTTTATTATTTTTTTTCTTTTTTGTAAATGTTTGTACCTTTTTTTCTATATTATTATGTATTTTATCTTTGACTACATCTTCAGTATAATTTTTGGTTAGATATATATAATTTAGGTTAGCTGCATAATTACGATAAATAATAAAATTAAAAGTGTTTTTTGAATTGCAATGTGCCAAACAAGAAAATTATTTTATACCTTACGTTACCTTTTATATAAGAAATTAATTTATGACGTGTTTTATAAAGACACATCTAACATTAACGTAAAATTGACGTTACCTTTAATTACCTATAAACACAATTAAACTCTTAAATCAACGATATTATTAAGACTGCCTAGCGATTCTGTAACTCACTTTTCGAACTCACATTCTGTAACTCACTTTTCGAACTCACACAGCGGTTTTCGCATCGGCGGTCGCTCTGAAATCAGTCGTGAAGCAGTCATTTTATGATTTGGCATTCTGAAAAACAACAAACTACAAGCTCCCACCTTTTCAGAATGCCAAATCATAAAATGACTGCGTCACAACTGATCTCAGAGCGACCGCCGATACGAAAACCGCTGTGTGAGTTCGAAAAGTGAGTTACAGAATCGCAGGGCTGATCTACTATTTTTTTTAAATAAAATTGTGCTAGGAATCGCATCCTTCTACCTGTATCACATAAATGGCGAATTCTTTTCGAATAAACATTAAGCATTTTTATTTTTCGCTTACCGTAAAAGGATTAAGACATTAAGTCTTTGTAGGGATGATATTCACTTTCATAAGTAATTGGATACATTCGTGCAAGAGAAGCCGCGCTGAGAGCATTGACTCATCAAAAACCAATCAGTACATTTAACAAAACTGTTGTTGTGTGAGTCACTGCCAATATTATTTATTTATCATAAAACACTATCTTATAAGTCCGTTCTAAAAGACTTAGACTAAAACTTGTAAAGTGTTTGTAGAGTTAGCTCTTTGCTTCCTCAAAATAAGTAAAAACTCAGAGTAATTCACAAGATTTATCGTTCGTCTGGAGAATTTATTGAGCAAGCTAAGCAAGATCACAGACAATTTTTTATAAACTATATACCTTTATGTTTTAATAAATTATGTAAAACTTCTGTGCGTGATTGTAAATCACTGCTGGACCGATATTGATTAAATATTTGTGTGTATGTAAATTAGAATGGTTTAGATTTACAATTAGATGTTATTTTTTAAATAATTTATTTTTATTTGAGACCTGCCTTGCGATTCTGTAACTCACTTTTCGAACTCACACAGCGGTTTTCACAGCGGCCGCGGCGGTCGCGCTCAAATCAGTCGTAAAGCAGTCATTTTACGATTTGGCATTCCGATAAGCAATAAAGTTCAAGCTCCCTTCTTATCAGAATGTCAAAATATCATAAAATGACTGCTTCACGACTGATTTGAGCGCGACCGCCGCTGCGAAAACCGCTGTGTGAGTTCGAAAAGTGAGTTACAGAATCGCAGGGCTGTGTACAGCATAGCGTATGTCAAGTCAATTGTATAAATAGGTTTAATAATTTAAACAAGAATCTAAATCTATGAAAAGTCTATTCATTAGTTAAAGTTTGTCAGTCCTATACTTGCCTAATTGAATCATAAACTAAGAGGCATCCATTTATACCGTCTGTAGATTATAGGTTGTTGCATTATAGATAATAGAGGACGACGTATCACCTCTTAATCCCACTGTACTGTCAAATGAAAACCACTCTATGTAACACAAAATTATGAACATTTATACATGACCAAAACCTGAAAGCACCGGTCTTGAATAAACGCTATAACGATCCTATTGCAGTAATCCAGATACAATATCAAGTCTGCGGTTACAATGTATACAAAATAAAAGTGTACATTCACATCTAAAGGCTTCCTTTGTCTGCGTTTGAATTAGTCTATAACCCTTGACTGTGTTTTGTTTTCATAAAAAAAAATCTTTATATTTTATAATCTTTCTTTATACAATCGAACGGAAGTAGTTCTTTATAGATTATGATTTTATAACCGAGTCTTTCAATACAAAATATTAACATTTTTCTATGATTTTCGAGCATTTTCTAAAACAAAACATAGTCGAAGTCTACGAGTTATAAAGATAGATTGATCATTGAGTAAGTTCAATTGTTTAAAAGACTTCATAAATACATAGGTCTGAATATTTTGCCAAAGACTAAATACCCTTTATTTTGGACAAGTTACTCTAACATTTTTCTTTACAAATCCAACTTACCTTTTGCCTGTAAAAGGTCCCAGAAAACATTGGTTTAGTCATTGGACTATACATGTAGAAAAGCAAAGTATGTTTACGATCAATAAACCACTCAAAATAATATTATAAAGACACTCAATAATTGCACTATATGATTGATTGTCTCCCGGAGACCAATAAATTACTTATTTTGCAAATATTCATAGCGATATGTTGTAAAATAATATTCAAATAACTGATGAATTACGTATTTCTTGTTGTCGGAAACAAACACGTCTTGTAGCGATATTCTAGCTTAATTTAGTGGCTTAAGCCAGCTTTTAATACCTTTGATTATAATTTTAGCTAGAGCTTTTAGTATTATTTTTATAATGTAAACAAAAGCAAAAATAACCAATACGTACGCGAACGTCATTACAAATTGTTTACGCGAAAAATTGAGTGTTTATTGATTGATAATTAATAGACTGATCGAAATCTAATACATTATTAGTATTGTGAATTAAAAACAATTTTTTTTATTCCATCCATCGACGTTTGCCAAAATTCAAACTGCTTCCTCATAATTTGGTATCTTGCTAAACTCTGTACCCCTTATTATCTCCAAACTAACGAAAGTAGTTTACTATCAGTAGGTCACCCTGGAATTTGTGTATTAAACACGAACCATTAGCGATCTTACCTGCAAGAAGAGCGTAAAAGCCACCCACTGGTAGTACTTCCCGTAACGTCGTGGCGAGTTTCCAGAACTCCTGACACCAGGATAGGCACCGGCTTCACCAGCTACCGTAAACGTTGAATGTATCCAGCAGTAGGTGTTCAGTACGTCTTCTGGTATGTCCCTGTCATAAATATTACTTTGCTAAAGTGTTTTGTGTTCATTTTTAACTTTAATTGCTTGCAATTATTTAATACTCCTTCGTATACTAAATTAGAGTGGAACTGTTTACTGGCTTAATTAGGTAACATTCAAAGTAAAAGAAAATATGTATAATATACCAAAGCATTTTAAAGTTCTTAAAATGAATTAATGAAATTAGAGACGGAAATTTCGGAATTTGATTTTATTTTAGACACAGGAAAAAATGTACAGGGAAATGTTAAGCAAACAACATGACAATTAATCTAACGTTAATGTTTATACAGACTGATTCTAATCCCGCTCATTTAACATGGCTAAGAAGATTTGCATGTAATTTCAGAGCGGAAAAATTATTACCTTAATTATATTTTAAGTCAAATAGATACCAGGACATAATAAAACAAAGAATATACATTCGATGGTGATAAATCGCTGATTACATCAATAGCAACAAGAAAGTTTTATAACCCATCCTAAGATATTTGACATTAAACATAAAATTTATATTTTGTGCTACATAATTGACTGGCACTTTACAACGATTTAAGAAATTTCTATATGGAAAAGAAATCATTAATAAACTATAGTTTAAAGCTATTTACATTGAGTTGCCAAAGTTCATTATCGTTAATATTGGAAATATTTTTTTACACATTTACATTTAAACAGAAATTCTGTATTATTATCTCGTACAAACCCATTAAATTTAAAGTTGACAATAGCGCCATCTAGTTTAAAACTATAAAACTACGTAGTGTCTCTGCAGCTTGCACTAATGTCACTCACCTTGTATGAATGCAATCTATAGGATTGCCCACGAGATGGCGTGTTGTTAGAGCTGCGCTGGCAGCAAGCAATGCTGCCGTTGTGGCTCCACAATGTAAGCGAAATGCTATTGAGTCGATTTTGGGATTTATCCCTTGCTGAAATATCAGAAAATTGTAAATAACCCAACGCAAAAAGAGGGGTGTTTGTAGTTTGACCACTATGTGTTGCCCGGAGCCCCTTGTCGGGTAAAGAATTTGAAGGCAATTTATTTAGAAAGCACATTTTTAATGAAACTTATATTAAAAAAATATCATTTGCCAAAGATTATTAATATCGTCTTGTTTCTATTCTAAAATAATCTGTTTAACTTTTGTTTGTAGGAATCCAAATAAATTTGAGTTATGTAACGCATAAAAATAAACCTAAAATTTTACAAAGATTCATTTCCATTCTATAGAAGAGAACGCTTAGTTAGGCAAAAATACCCATTATGATTACCCAAATCGCGGTTGGCCAACCTCGAAAACCAGAGACAAAAGACACCACATTATTATTGTCCTTGACATTTTAAATATCTTTTCTGTCATTTCAATCGACGTATAATAGATTTTCGTTTCTCGTGGGCTCAACGTTCAATGGGCAAACTCTTGGGCTAATTCGAAGACTCTAGATTTATTTCTAGGTGTCAAACTAAAATTCTTGTTACGCAGCCCCGATGGTCTATAGTGACACAGTAAACTGTGTAACAGACACTTAACACCTACTTAGACCGTAGATGCTGGGTTGTAATGGTAGTAGTATTTATGCAGTGAGTGTAAATTGTTAGCTCTTTAGGGGTAATAATTCATTAGAACATACATTTAAGCCTCCAGCGAGTAGCAGTTAGATCAGTGTTTCCCAACCTTTTTTGAGCAATCCCCCCATCCCCTTAGCCTTTCTAAAATTGAATTGTTCACTTAAGAAACTCTTACTCACTCTCTTGTTAAATGTTTATAGGACACATAAGTAATTTTCAAAACATAATGAAAAACTGAAATTCAAATTCCAAATAATTGTAAGATATTTTCGAATAGCCCACCTTAACAATCAAAATTACCCCCTATGGGGCGTGGGCACCACGTTAGGAAACACTGGGTTGGTTGCTGGGCCTGACTTATATGTATTTGATAAACGATAATTTGTTTCTTATCACGCTTTCTTGTGATTATAATTATGTGTCCAGTTAAGAGGATGAAAAATCTTCATTACCGGCACTATCCCCCTAGCCAACTGCTGTGTAGGTGCTCTGTGTCGTTATGTTGTAATGTGCAGTCAATAAATAACTATTCCGCTTTTTTGTGGTCATAATTATGTCAAAAGACTTTATTCACTAGAGATAGTTAAGCCTACTCACCCCTCCAGCGAGTAGCGCGTAGATGCTGGTGAGGATCTCCATGGGCCTGCGCGGGTGTGCAGCGCGCTCACGCCGCCGCCACGCGCCGCCCGCCCCCCGCGCGCCGCCCACACCGCGCCCGCGCCGCCCCCACGCAACACCTGACTCTCTGCCACACACATATATAACATTATTTCAACACCATCAAAGAAAATGCTAATCCTGATGTAAAAATTCAATTTATTATACTTAATTTTATTTTGATAAAGCAGTATCGACAATGTTATATACGTAATATATTATATACAGTGTAAAATCTTTATAAATCATTCGTTATAACGTAAAAAAGAGTTAAACGTGTTTGGTTTAATACAGAACACATACATTAATACTCTTTATAACGCAACAGCCATTCTCTATTACGAAGAAATATTTTCATATTTAGACATTAACAACATACTTAAGTGTAATTGTTTTTATAATCGGCTTACAAAACTAACCCTTTGAGGTGCCGTCATTTCTAAGAAAGACACACTCAGACCCTCACACAGACCATAAACAACCTTCTCGCCTTTGTTATTGTTAATTTCCCTTGTCCCTTGAAATTCGTTATAAAAAGTTTACACTGTATATATGTAAATTGAACTACTTTAATAAATGGTAGAAAAGCGTAGAACCATCAATTGTTAAATTATTTCTATTTCAAAACTAGCCTTCGATCAGGCTAATATTAGATCAGTTTGTACATCAGAATTAGAACAAATTCTATTCTACTAGAAGGTGTAAGTACCAAAAAGTTATAATGAAAAAGTCTAGACTACAAATTATTAGAGGAACCTTATTCATAGGTATATTTTGTCGTCATTGTGGAAGCAAATCAATAGTGTTTAATATATTAGGCTTGGTCCTTGGTGATTTGTCTAATTTCTATGGTTTTGTTTACGAGAGTACTAAGCTGTTAAATAAAACTTCATTAACGACGATCACACTGTCAAACTTTAAACGACTGCGGCACTGGCCAGAATTTCTTAAAAGTATTCGAAGCTATGTAAATGATATAACCTATTCACATGTGTATCCCTTAAAGAAGCTTTACTTAAATGCTTTATGTTTTTTTATTTGAACGCTATATAAAAGTACTAATTACGCTAAGTGTAGTCTTATTCTTAACAAAGGCATAGGATGTGATTTGATGCATATTTGTGACATAAACGAAACATAAAATGGTATGAATACTTGAATAATTATAATCATGCCTTCAAAATACTCTGAAATGTAAACTGTAGTTTTGTTTCATAAAAACAGGCCAATTACACAAATTAAACATAAGTAGTCATTTGTCTCTTTTTATCAAAGCATAAACACAATTTGAGAGGAAGAGATAGAGTAGTTTAGTTAAAGGAGTGCAATTTGACTGATTTTATAAGGGAGAAATTGCTATAGGTACTAACAATTATTTTGGATTAAAAGGTAAATATTTGAATAGCATGCAATACTTAATCAAAAAGCGAATCGTACAGTGCAATGACTTGAAACGTGCAAAAGTATTTGTCAAACAAAAATATTAGGTTTTGTTTTTAACTGTATAAAGCAATACGAAGAAAATAGGTTCAGAACTTCGTCTTTAACTAAACTCGAGTGAGCACGAAACATGCAAAAATTGAGGAATATGACCAATGCGACTAGCAACACTCACCAAACAAATGATAACGAAATCCAACAATGGCGCGAATTCAAATAAAATGTGGTTACGAAAGTTTAGAGCGCGAAGATTAACTGCCGCTCGAGCTAAGCCTCAGTGAGAACTAAAAACACAAAATCCAGAACACCAGTACAGATTCACAGATAAACCAACGCATTTTATCAACCGACGAAATATTTCTTTTCAACACGACAGTTATACGCAAATTAATTGGGCCCTGAACGATCGCTACAATAAAATGATTATTTACATTCTCGTTAAATTACAAACGGACGCAACATTAACCTCTTGATGTAGGTTGGCAGTAACAGTTTAAAAAATGAATAACGCAACGTTTCTCAAATCCCACGGAACATCGATTTTCACATTAATGTACCAGCAAAAATCGAATTTGGATACTCTCCAAAGTGTCCACTTTGTGTTGATTAATGTATTGCACAGAACCTTTATAGTTAAACACCTCATTAAATCTCCTTGTTTACTATAAACGCATGGCGTTTTAAAAGAGGTCATGGCCGTAGTTTTACGCCTAGTTTGATCCCGTAAAACTTTCTTTCGCAACTTTTCTATTTAAGCGAGATTGACGCCTGATACCTACAAAGCATTAAACGATGTTCGTTTACATTAAAATTTAACACAATAACCGAGTTTAAAGCGGATATTATATAAATAAAGATTGTAAACGCTGTCAAAAGCTGCCCACGTGTCAACATCCGAAGAAGATTGACGGCAGAACAACTGCGTTGATTTGTTTAGAAAAATACTCTTTGTATGTGATAACCGGTGACTCAGAAATATATCGGGAACTCGGTCAAACGTCTGCCGAATGGTATGATCTGATGGTGTTTATATAATTTAATGGGCAATTATCAAGTTCTTTGAAAGCGAAATTCAAACATTGAGAGCTATTGTGGTTCTGGTGGGAAGGATAATTTTACCAAACTACTACAAAAGACGATGTTTTTAGTTACATAGGTACACGTTTTTAATTACAATTTATTCAGCAAAATCACTTAATAATTATAAAATGCAGACACATATTTATGTAAACAGCTTTTTGCAATGTATGTATTAAAATCTCATTCTGACTGTTTTGCATAGTCCAAACCTAACCAAAATAATAAAATATTAGCCTCTGACGCATTTGATAATTTTAACATCTGCTAAGAACAGCCTTTTAGAAATTTAAGCCAAATAAGTAAGTCATGAACACAGTAGTCACCCGCATATCCATAACTTGAGATTACGTCGCGGTCGTAACATTTAATTTAAAAAACCGCTATTGATAGGGTAAGAAATCAGTATTTTTTTTATTATGCATCATCATATGCGCAAGCCAAGTCGCCAAGAAATATATATGTAATTTAACCTTAACATTAAAATGAAAGTTTCACGTTTTGTAAAAGTCGCAAGTATTCTATACGATCATATTACATCTGAATTCTATTATTCTATTCGTTTATCGATTGTAGCGTCTGCAGCTATTTGTATTACCTACCACGAAACTACACATACCTTGATTAAATCCAGACCTTGAACTAGAAATAATTCGCTAATGAACCATCTACTAAAAATAACTTTTCACCTATAGAACATGTTCTATCTTTACCACGTTCCGTCTGAAATACGTGGAAATATTTGTCCTTATCAATCAATTATTTAGCACGTTTAGGTGTCTGTCCTAAGCTATAACAAGGATTATATTATTATCATGATCCCGCAAAATCTGCCGTCATAACCGCCAGTTATGCTGCCTAGCTATTCTGCTTAGCCACGTAAATTCATTAATTTTCCTATTCGACTTTGACTGGATACATAAAATAAAAAAATCAGTGGCGCTACAACCTCTTTAGGTCTTGGCCTCAGATTTCTGAATCTGTTTCATGATAATTTTTAAATCTAATAGGCAAGTAAGTCAGCCTCCAGTGCCTGACACACGACGTCGACTTTTTGGGTCTAAGACATGTCGGTTTTCTCACGAAGTTTTACTTCACTGTTCGAGCAAATATTAAATGCGCACATAGAAAGAAAGTCCACTGGTGCACAGCCGGGGATCGAACCTACGACCTCAGGTATGAGAGTCTCACGCTGAAGCCATTAGGCCAACACTGCTCTGTTGACTGGACTGGACTGGATACATAGCATACACATATACACACATGAACTGTTCATTTACTATGAGCGTTCGATGACAAAGGGTACTGAAAGAAGACTCACACGATATATTATTAGTTATATCATAGCCATACGTAACACATGACTCATTAATGGAGTAAATGCACGACACGACTATAAATTAAGGAAAGATATCGACAACTAAGTCTTAGCAGAAGCTACGTGTATAAAAGTGTATTTGGTAATAAGTAAGAATATGTTAATCTAAAATTTAAAAAATCTAGATTACAAATAATTCAGTGTGATTAGAAATATAAAGTTTGTGCATATAAGTGTTTAGAATATTGTTTTATAATGAAGCTGTTTTACAGCTTTTCAACTTTTAGAATGCCTTATTTGACCCATAAAATTGTTGTTTCTCGGTTAGGAACGTGAGAAATCATAGCGAGAGTTGACATTAGAATTATGGAATTTTAAATAAGGGGTTAAGTGTAAATATGACGATTGTATCTGTTATAGTTAAAGATAGAGGACTGTATGTATTATAAAATCTCTACTTGTAAAGCTAGCTGATAGAATTCAATGAAAGTGCCGATTTTTTTACTATTTTAGCAAGATTTGCTATCGGATTGTTATGAGCTATCAAATGCCCCGATATTTTAGAAACCCGCCTTTAAAAGCGGACTATTTATATAAATAAAACATCAAATTATTTCTTATAATTTATTGAAGCAAAAAAAAAAAAATATATAAGATAAATTATTAATTTAAAAAAGCGATTAATAGACAGCCAGAATATTTATAGAAAACTGCTAAAAGTCACATTTAAAGCTCAGTATTTCGCGCATGCATATTCATATGCTTTCCATAGCCCACATGAAAGATATGAAATCACCTGCGACTACTGAATCTCTGAGCGCGGACTCCTGCGTCGGGGCGCCCTCCGGACGTCTTTCCCATCGGATGGTTGTGACAGCTTAGCGGCTAGCCACGCTCAAAGCGCGCAAGCTTCGCCATCTAGCGAGTACCTACGACAACTAAAGAGACGCTTTATGCGGGTATCTTTCAAAAATACTAACGTGAAATAGGTTGACCCAACCTATGTTGACGTTTGACCCTGATATTTGACGTTCTTCTATCAAGAACGCTTTACATAATACATTGTTTAAACTGCAACGTGGTGGCAAAATTAAGCAGTAACATTTTACGCGATGTATTCTGATAAAACATTTCTTTTAAAAATAAGACTAGTTGCCTAATTCTAGAGCAACCTTCACGGTTATTTGAGGTAGGGATTACAACATATTGAAGCGATATAAGCCTCTTAATCTCCCTCTTTCGCTGTGTGAATATATTTCTGTGTTCTCCGTCTTTTAGTCGAGGGCAAAGGTAAAATTTATGTTTAAGTGCCTAACACACACGTCTGTTATTAAATTTTTTAGTCTTACTGTAACTAAAGTCTCTATTTTTATATATTTTCTAGATCATTTCCCGACTATGTTGTTGTATGTTGTCGGAGGTATTAAATAACTTACGTAAATGGTATTGGTAACCCGGATGATTAAACACTACTACCTATTTCTTTCAACAACTTTTTAGTATAACTTTTTAGCAAATTCCAGAAAGATGCCTCATAACCTATTGTTGAACATTATTTCCTTTAAATTCGTGTGTGATGTCGTATCCATACATTGGACAGTCGGTCAGAACATGTAACACCTTCTCTTCATCTGTATTGCTACAAGGACAGGCAGCACTTTGTCTAACCCTGATATTAAATCAGTCATATTATGATAGGTTACATCTAAACTTGATTTGTCTTTCTACCAGTGCGTCATCACAATTTGACAAAAAGCGAATAAATATTAGTTTTCGCGCATAACATGGCCTAATTTTGCTTGGTGAAGGATAGAACCTGCGTGTATTGGTCATGTGAATTTAACATAAAACAGTATTTAAATAAAATAAAAGAGACTTTTTTGTTACTTAACTCTTGCTCGCACAATTACACGATTAAACCTCATCATCATCAAATCAGTTGAACAAATCTATTTGAAATAGAATTTGTTTTAGAACGCTTGTAAATTGAAGAAATTGACATTCGATACTAGTATTCACGAGACTTTAATGCGTTCCTAAAATATATGCCCTGATCTAACATTGTTCGAACATCCGCATCGCTTTCCTGGGAATTGATGACTTCGGTTACAACTAGATTTTACATTTAGATTGTTTGTTCGTGACAGACTGGTATAACTTTATAATTAAGATGAGATTCTACCGATCTACAAATCTATCACAGCTATTTAAGCAAAGTTTTTTAAGCTAAATAAAATTTGGGTCTCTTACCAGTTAGATCTATGTTTTTACAGACAGCCTTAACAAATTTAATTATCTTACAACTTAAAGATAGAACACATGGAAGGAAAACCACAAGAATCTTTTTGTAAAATCGACACATCGAGCCTTCAAGCTGGTATAGTTTCTTTTCCATAAAGATATGTTTCGTAAAACGCCTGTCAAAAAGTATAGCGGAAAATAGCGGAAATTGAATTCGGTCCTCCGATATTGCGGATAACGGAGCATTTTATACTCCCCAGACCGTATCGTTCCTACATATTTTGTATTGAAAATATTTCACGTACAGTATAAAAGTTTGAACTATTGTACTATTTGTTGATTTCCACACATGAATTTATGCTACCTCTTTACACTATGTATTTATTATAAGAGTGTAACATTTGATAGCTAATATATTATATAAACCATTACAAGTTAATCATTTAATATTACGAGTATATAACATACATGGCTTAACAAAACTTTTTTTGTCTACACATCTAAAATGATAACTGCTGCATGAACTAAAAAATGCACATATCCTAAATATTGGTACAATAAAATACAAATACTATCTATATCCATATTTTGTTTCTTGAAATAACAAACTTGGTAGAAAATTAGCCCGTCAAAATAATAAATTCATTTTTAAGAAGTTTTTTATGCACGAAAAGTTATTTTTTGAACCGAAATAAAAAACAACTAGGTACCAGGGCGCCATAAACGTGTGCAGCTTAGCATCATATTGCAGGCAATCTAACTTTACGACCTGCGATTTATTGCAATCGGCACGAAATTTACAAATTTCATTTGTCATTCCGCACGGAAATCGTAAATAAATCCAGGAAAATCGTAGAATCTAGGATTACATTTGGACATTTTATTTATTCGATCAGAGCACAGAATTAATGGTTAAGTCGACGATATCTCAAGCGATGCTTCTTCTGCCAAGACTTAGAAATAGTTTCATTGGAAATAACTTCGACCACAAAGTGGTTTAGTTTGAAAGTCATTTTTAAAAGAAAGCTTTCTATGTTTAAATTAAATATTTTCCTGCTTTAAGACAATTTATAACATACAAACATTTGCTTACGAATTAATAGATTATAATTTGTGCGAAAGTGAAGAAATTTATCAAAAATAAACAAAAAAATAATAAGAATTTATTTAAGCGCAGAAGATAGCACAATACTTGTGAGTAAAAAAACAAAACGCTTACGAACCAACCATACAATCAAAAGTCATACACAAAAAACAGTAAAATAAAATTGGCGCATTTATTTAATCCCAGTAAGATCAATTCGTATACAATAACCAGGATATCATAACAGACCTACAAGTTGAAAGCATCCTAAAATGGGGAAAATTCACTCCAACAAGCCTTCAGGCAATTCAGGCGCTATTAGAACTCTCAACCACAGCGGAAACATAACCTCAAAATTTCACAAAACATTCCGAAATCCTGAACAATGACGTCATAAAAACAATCACTTTTTATTACATCGCTCAATTTTCATCTTATAAATACAATGAAAGGGAGCATGTACAATGCTTTTTCCTTTTAGGTTTAAAAATGGGCTTCTAATTCTAAATATGTATAACAAATTATTTCTTAATCAAAGTATTGCAGATTGTTGTGGTTTTTTTTACACAGTCAATTGTTATTAAAAACGTCTCTAGACCAACCAAAAGCTGGCCTGATTCGTTCTTTGAAAATTTGATTGATTGATTATTATTCTATATTAAAATTTTCCCTAGTTAGGTTTTGGCTACGCTACTAGGACTTAAGGAAGACTAAAGATGTGCTTAATACAATTCAGAGTTTGTTTAATGACCTCGAAAGTATTAAATAATCAATATTTACTATCAAAACAGCTAAACATGTAAATTAAACCACTTTAAAGCATAGATATTCAATGTTATCTAGTGTATACGTGTCCTAAGTTATACATTTTTAAGCGGCTAGAGTAGGTATTTGGAACATTCGAGTACATTCTATATTCCGTGTGTAAAATGTTTATGTTTGTAAAGTGAATATTGCAGCTGCAATGGAACCAATTTGTTTTATAGTTGTGTTGGCAATTTTCACAAATGTTTGCGGCAATCCACAAGAGGTTTCTTTTTTATGCTTCAATTAATTTATATTAGCAAATAAATGTCTTTGTTTAATGTTCTTTAATAATTTATGTAACAGTCAAATTAATTAAAGTTTTCGATAAGTTAAATACGCAGTGATGTTTTAGACTTCCATAAGATTTTAAAATCTGATAAAGAAAATTTCTAGAAATTCTAAAAATACCATTCCCGTGTGACAGGCTAGTATTATCCGGACTTACTTAGTCTATAATCCGAAAAGGAATTAGTTCCTTGTGCGCTTTGAGTCCGTTGTGAGTTCAATAAGTCAAAATTGATTTTTACTAAGAGTAAGGGGAAATTATTGAATTGAATGAACATATATTCTTAGAGGTAGTTTTTTTAGATAACAATTAGGTATATTGATGATATTTCTGTATAGGGGCCGATGTTAACGAAGTATAGTTAAAGATTAAAAAAGTTCCCTCGGAAGCTAAAACAGTCTTTCGTTCTAAGCTAATGTTATGCTATGCTATGCTGACAGACCTAACTAACCTAAGCTAAGAATTTGTAGCTCAGTTCACACACAATAAAATGACATTTTCACTGACCAAAACGGCGTAGCAACCCATTTTTTTGAGGTTTATTTTAATTTTTAATGTAAAATTTTTGTTCCTATTATGTTACAAATTGTTCTTATCTATGTGAATTTTATTTAAACCAAACTACAAGAAATTAATGGATTTTGTTATAATCCCGATAGAAATAAACTAAGAAATAACTCGCAATACAGAGGCATAGAGCAAGGCACCGCTTTGAGAACTAAGTGAAATGTCAACTGTTTTCCCGCCAAGATAACATGTCCATTTTCCTTTATGCGGACAGTCTTCTTGCGTGCTCTTTGTGAACAATTTTGTTTGAAAACAACGTTGATTTTCTATGCGCCACAAACGTTTTGTCTTTCATGCTACATCTAATTTCTACCAGGCCAACATCAACCGTAGAGAGGATGTAATTATATATATCAAGCTTGCTTAATGAGACAGCGTGGAACTAATAATTGATAATTTTTTATATTTAATATCTTATTTGGTGGAACGTAGGTTACAGTAGAATGTTTATTCTAAAATTCGAAAAGTTTGTATATTTTTACATAGCAAATAATACTGGCCACTTGCTTTGATTAAAAAATATATATATATATATATCCCTAATTATTAATGAATGTAACAGATAAATGATTTTAGACATTTTTTCAAGACAATCGAAGGATAGCTAAAACAATTGTAGAAGCACTACAGGACTCAAAGTTTGATGAAGAACTACTATTTGACCTGAAGAAAGAGAACCAGGTCTACTTAAATAGAACCATGTCGTTGCTCATCAAGTATATTGTTAAACGGTAGGCAATTTAACTACTTATTGGAAATTTCATGAAAACTTCATTGTTTATAGAAAAGTAGAGAAGAGATAATCATCCATTCCACAACGAATATTTTACCAGGAACAAACTTAGATCCTGCTAGATATATGCTCTTATATGCCATGAAAGCGGTCTTTATCGAATATATAAGCTTATATTTTATATATATATATATATATAATTCTACTGTACGTGTGTATGTCACTGAACTCCTCTTAAACGGCTGGACAGATTTGAATTTAATTTTTGAAGTTATACTTCTTTAGGCGCGTTATGAAAAATTGATGAGAGTGAAATTTTACGATGCGCGCGCACCGTGACACAAAATTAACAGAATGAAGTTAGTGGCGCATGTTGGCACGCACGCCCCTCTGTCACTGTGTATATTTATAATATTTATCCACATACTTTGATTTTCAACTTTAAAACCAGTTTTTTTTTTTTTTTTCGCGAATTTTATATGTGCATCTGAATTATAATCAGAAGTGATTAAAATTGAATGTTTAAATCAATACTTATTAATATTAGAAAACAATTATTTGAATGCAATCAAAAACTATTTTTAATAATGCCAAAGAAGTATAACTAGTCCATTGAAATGTTACATTTTTTAGGCCTTACCTTGCGTTTTTTAGAGACCAATTTTATTTTTTGATGTGTAGAGGGGTCATGTAAGCTAAAACAAGTTTGTGGGTCCCCCTTGTCCCACGGCCGCATCTTGGAAAAGGGTCCAACCTTTTTGGCTATTCTCCTAACTTCCTCGTACATAAAACTTGTAAAGCACATTTTGTACAATCGCTTCCTCATTATGTCTTGTAACTTTTTATCATAAATCCAAAATTCAAAATTTAAGTAAAAAAGGAAAATATTTCCTATTTCTAAAGTTGACTGGTGCGTCAATGCTATACACACCGAGTTTTACCTTACTTTTAAGTCTCTGTTTATTTTTAAAAATTTTCCAAATTTTTTTTTATTCCTACAATTTTCTTTTGGTATTCCTATAGGCCTATTCCACAACAACTTCTGATATGGTAATGTTCGACATAATTATATTATCAATCAGTTATTGATTTCTTCTTTTTTTTTCTTTTTTTGGATTTATATAAAATATCTTCGTAGCCCTTGCTACAAAATGTGTCTTTACAAGTTTTATGTACGATGGATAGTTTAGGAGATATAGCCAAAAACGTAGTTTTGGGACCCCTTTATCCTGCGCAACCCCAACCCCACAAACTTGGAGTTGCTTTTTTGACCCCCCTCTGTTCCATAAATAAAATTGTCTTAAACCACCCCAAATGTAACTTTTCAATGGACTAAACTTCTTACGCGCGTACATAAGTACACGCACCCTTTTCTTTTGTATGCCTTTGCCTGGCAGATGGCGCTGCAGTCGGTATCTAGGCTATTTATCTATACAGCAAATAAAGAGCTGGTATACATATAAATCTTCTCTCTTCTCTGTAATCTATCGTGTTTGAAAACCGAGGTTGTACTACTTTGCGGGATTTGAAAATAGAATTCACTTTGAATAGTAAATGTAGCGATTGCATGAGACGTTATATTTGTGGGAAATACTATGTTGGTCTGGTGGTCGCTCATACAATTTACTAACTACGTATAAACTTTCAGCGAAGTAGACAACTACAGGTCAAGAAGGACGGATGCAATCAGCCGTAGAATTTACTCTTCCCTTGTAATGAAATTAATCGATATCGCAAAGGTACTATAAATCGTCTAAGCAATAAACTAGTCTATGAATATGTAGGAATAGAACAATAAATATATATATGGAAATTTCTTAGCAAAATATGTGTAAAAATGTCGGGGATATTAAGAAATTTATAAAAAAAATCAAATTATATTCATATGAACAGTTTTAGGAACTTTAAAATTACATGCACTTTTGACAGGACTAATTAACAATCAAAATACTTAATTTTATTCAAGGAAGCTGTTTGTACGCTTTCATTAACTTCCAAAGCAATAAATACCACCGAACTTTTATAAATTATTTAGTTCCAAATAATCCTATATAATTATTAATAGCAAGTATTTATATGATGAATCCAGTGCTATAACCCTATATGGTTCTTGGCCTTAGATTTCTTTTATCATTTTAATTTGATATACTAGTAGCGCCTTCTATCTGACACATGTCATTGATTTTTGGATTTTAGACACGCCGGTATCCTCACGTTCTTTTCCTTCACCGTACGAGCAGTGTTAAATGCGCACATAAACAAAGTCCATTGGTGAACAGCAGGGGATCGAACCTAAAACCTCAGAAAAAAGCGTCGCACACTAGGCTAACATTTGCTACTACTTGCTACAAGAATATCCATTTATAATTGAATAATAATTTTACAAAATGCTAGTCTTTCTTTAATAATAAAAAAAACGGTAATAAACCAATTTTTTTTTAAGGATTTACCAAGAAACTCAAGCGCAACGAGTCGAATCGACACCGCCCACAGATACTACATGACGGTCGAAAGTAAGGATATGCATGATCAAATGGCAGATTCTCAAGTATTCCACGCATGCGCCAGATTGTATGACATTATGTTTACGGTAAGTGTATCTCACAATGCTTTTTATAAGATAGAAGGCAAAAAATCGCATAGTGCCAGAGGGCTAACAAGTATTGCTACGCCGTCTTGAAGGGGTGTACTTTAGCAACAACATTATGGGTAAGTACTTTCTTACTTAATCAAAAGAGTCCAAAACTAAGCTCTCCTTGTTTCTCTACATATGCCTTCCTCATGATGGATACCGTTCACCATCACTGTCATTCTTTTGTGAGCCAACCATTATGATTAATGATGAAGGTAAAACTAATTCATTATTTTAAGGCACCGAGAATCCTCTCTCAACTAGGCAGTCTGGATGATCTGACTCCACGTATCCTTATTCGGAAATTAAGAGAAATGGAAATCAAACCAGTTCACCTTGGAGTCACTCTTCTTATTCAGGTAAAAATGCTTATAAAATTGTCGTTAAAAAATTATCAATAATAATTTCTCATCAAGAATCGTGTTGACCTAGTGTTCCGTGCGATATTCATGCCTGAGGTCGTAGGTTCGAACCCGTCGGTGCAACAATGGACTTTCTGTTTATGTCCGCATTTAACACTCGTAAGGTGAAAAAAGTCATTTACCAATATCATATAGGTAACACAATGTATACACTACACACTAAATATACATTAAATGCTTCTCATTTTACATTAACTGCCAGTTCTCAAATCAAGGGCGTAGAACGGAAGAGAAGAACTGGCAATAAACTCTCAGCCACCGAAACCGACATGCCTTAGAACCAAAAAGTTGACAGCGTGTAGCAGTCACAGAAGCTGATCACCTACTTGCCTATTAAGAAAAAACAAATGATATTTATCAGTTATATATTAATCTGAGACTTAAAACTTTTTTATCACTCATCAAAAATCATTTAAATAAACTTGTTATAAGTTTTACAGGATTTAATCAAAAGCCTTCAAGCAAAGATAAAAAGATGTTTTCTTATTTTTATTTCATCAGTACAACCTCCGTAACACAATCAACTTTGCTCTTCACTCAAAAGCCCTGGATGTCCTTTCCACAAAGCCCCAAGAAGTTGGACCGCAAGTGATTGAACTACTCAAGGCTCTAGCAGCGCGCCTATTGCCAATAGCTGAGTTACTGGACATCCATTTAGCACACTCTAGTCCAGCTTTTAAAGACACCTCTCCGGCAACCTGGCTCGGTATCGTTAATAATAAAAACCCTTAACTTTAACTATTACCTTTTTTTTTTGTTTTTATATGTGAAGTAAAAAATCATTTAATCATATATAACATAATGTACACTTATGACTCGTCAGTAAAGAAAAACATATTAATGCTTCTAATTTTACATTTACTGCCAGTTTTCAAATCAAGGGCGTAGAACGGAAGAGAAGAACTGACAATAAACTCTCTGTGGCATTAAAAAATACATACTACCCGATCAACCCCTATTTTTTATTATATGTAGTAGATGCATAGTTATTTTTATTGAACTAAAAAAATGGTTCCTATAAATAATATACATGGCAAAACAACGTTTGCCGGGTAAGCTAGTTAATTGATAAAGATAAACAGACAATATAATATTCACAATCATTACTGCAAACTGACCTCTGGTACATAGGTTCATTGCTTAAAACACGCATATTTTGTCAAAAAGCAGCCCTAAGCAGTGGCGTAACAATAGGGTGGCAGGGCTGGCAAAATACCACGGGCCCCCGACCCAAGAGGGCCCCTGCCCAAGAGATATTATGTTCTATGGATGAATGTGAAGTTTCCAACACGCATTGGGCTAGCGTGGGGACTACAGACCATTCCCTCTCGCCTAAGAGAGGACGCCTATGGCCATTACTGGGACGTATACAACGTGTAATTGAGTACTGTGAAAATCTCATAGTTTATTAAAATTAAACTGAGTACAACGGGACATTTTTTCTGATAGGGACCCATCAAAAGAATTTGCCACGGGCCTCAGATGGTATAGTTACGCCAATAGCCCTAAGTTTTCCCGTATGACGCGGTAGTTTTATTTAATTACTAAATACCCTCATTATGATCGTCAAACGTCATCCATTGAGAGTCACCTTGACTGAAAGGCTTCCATGTATTCTCAATCTCATTTACTCGACATTATACAATAGCATTGCCTCATTATATGATTAAATCATACACCGTGAAAAAGCCTGGAAAATACTGGCTGGATTATGATATTTTTTATATATTTAAAAGGTGTTATGTGTCTAATCACGAAAGTTCTATCTACCGTAATTGTTAATTAAATATCTACCATGGCTAATAATTAGTTTATTTTTGTTTATATTAAAACAGCAATTAACATGTAATAACTAGAATTGCATCTTAACCTGAGGTTTACACAATATAATACAAATAAATAAATAAATGACTACTATGAATTAAAAAAGTTAGGCCTCTGTGGCAGAGAACGCTAAAGAAAGACCAATTTGAAGTGTCAAATTTAGCAAACTGGCTACATCTCCACCTAAAGTTTTTTCCAGCACAGTTTCAATTTCAAACACAAGCTTGCTATTGCCTTGCGATTCTGTAACTCACTTTTCGAACTCACACAGCGGTTTTCACAGCGGCGGTCGCGCTCAAATCAGTCGTGAAGCAGTCATTTTACGATTTGGCATTCTGGTAAACAATAAACTACAAGCTCCTTCTCTTCAGGTCTCTCCGACTTGAAATCGAGATATATGCGAGTGACCAGAATAATATAACCCGAAATAACCATGAATGTACTCGTTTGGCATTCACGAATTATTATCCCATAGAGCCTCCATAGGTCAACAAGTGCGTGATTTGACAGCACAGTAGACGTCGTAATATTTTATTGGTAATGTAAATTTATTGCTTGTAATATATATAACCCGTAAATAGTATCGCGGCGGGCTACGAAAAACGCTGCATAAGCTTTTGTCGCTTGGGAGTCTATATTTATTAAAATCCAGTTAGGTCGTCAATTGGCTCGCAAAAAGGCATAGTATTGGGTCTCCAGATATCATTTTTGATTAATAATGGATTGTCAAGAAGTAATAAGGAGTACATATATTTATCCTAGCTAAATTATTTTGGGAAAACAATGATTACATTCAAAATATGTGAACTTTAAGGATTGGCAGGTAATTTCATGTAGGCCCATATCTTGTATCGGGTCCCAAATACCACGAGTCTATTGATAAAACAAATTAAATTTAAACAAAAAGTGTTTTGTTGAGCACAGCTGGGCCTTTAAGCATAAGTTAGTTATAAATTATTGTATCTTATTTAATTTATAAACGTGTACGCAAATCAATAATTAAAAAATAATAATAATATTAATATATAAAAATAAAAATGTTAATTCTTAGAGACTTACAAACCTTTTTGAGGCGAAAACAAATAATACGTAACAAACATGTGTTTTGGTGTTACGTTTTTCGAATTCGCTTATCTTATAGCCCTATCATATACAATAATAATTTATGTGCACGCGCAACATGTGGATTTACGATATAGCGTTTATTTTTATAAACCACTGTTAGTTACCACATCACATCAATTGTATCGTTACATTGATACGATATATTGCGATGTTCTTGTTTTTCTTTCGTAAACAAACCCTGATTATATTATTTTCAAGGAAACAGCAAGTAACGGTTAACATTTATAGAGGAGAATGAAAATAAGTTACGCCTTACAGTTGGCCTTCTATCTACTTAGTCTTGGTGGTGAGCAACCCAAGTGCTCTTCAAGAACTCGGTGTCTTTGTTTCATAAGGAATATGTGTGACTGCGAAGGACAAGGTTGTTTGCCAAGGGCCAGAACCAGTCGGTTGCACAGATTAACAATTACGTTGCGCCTACTGAATGCTGTATCCGACACTATCGAAATCTTTAATCTTTATATGTTCGCAGAGTGATTTCACAGTAGCGATATTGTCTATGTCATGTATTTAATATTATTATTTTAATAATATTATTTTTTTCGACATAATCAGATTGGCTTAGTAACCGGCATGTTTTAGAAGCAAATACTTCTACGTACCTAAGTATTTCGGGCACAGTTCGCTGACTTAGCCAAAACTACCTTATAATGTTATATAAAAAAAATGTAAAATATGTTTATTATGGAATGTAAGATACAGGGACTTATTCCACGTCATTAAATTTCAATCGGTAGACATACTCATCGGCAAAGAAGACAGAAACTCTCGGTAGTCTTTTAAAATAGCAAATCTTCATACAAAATGACTATGCCAAACAACACTTATTTTAAAACAAATATCGCAAATTAATTAGAAGTAGCCTGTCTTATTAATCTTACTATTGTTATTTACCTAATTACTATTTCTTTACCTTATATAAGTTTAACCATTTGTTTACGTAGTGATAAGTTATGATTAATTACTTAATGACATTGTTTGTTCCCTTAATGTATCCCTACTCCTACCCAAACCTTTTAAATATCAAATCCTGATCCTTTCAAGATGACTTCTATTCCATATTCCAACTTCAACGCAACTTTATTGTAAACATAATTTTAAATAGTCTTTGTTAGTTTTTAAAAAACAAGTTTTAGTCACTGTCTCATAACAAATTCGGCGCAGTCGGTAGGATTTACTTGTGTAGTAAGACGAAACAAACTTACAAAGGACTAGCATCGCCTAGTACGGTAGCCTTTTAATAATTTTCGCCGATATTATGCTCTTGTGGTTCGTGTTACTGTGGTAAGTGGCATTTTACTTGTGGCTCATTCTTTTTTTCTATTTTTCCATATTTTGTGTGGTATATATATGTTATCCTGTATTACTATATTGTATATATCATCTAATTACATTATTCATATCTAACTACACACGCATTCTACATTTTAAATCATCATCATGTCAAGACCGAAAGCATAATGAAGCATCACCAGTTAATATTAAAACTCTTATCAATCTAATTCCTATATTCGACACAAACAATCGTGACGAAATATACGGTTACATTAGGTCCTGTGATTCTGTGTTTAAATTGTCATCTTCGACTGAATGGGAGACTTTGTTAACTTGTGCTCTAAATAATATTAAAGGCATCGCGGCCTCAGAAGTTCGGTGTAAAACTAACGAAACGAAGAATGAACTGCTCCCGATTTAATAAATAAAATGCTAGCAACGATATCATCGATTTGTTTTTCTAGAGACGTGACGAGTTCAAAAATTTGTATTGAAACAGTTGAGATCTGTTCAGATACACTGAGATTAAAGAATAAAGTATTTGTTTAATTAATTTTCATTAAATTTTCGTTGATCATATGTTCATCGTATGAAATTTTAAAAATAGGATTGTTAAAGTTATAATAATAATAATAATAAAAGCCCTTTATTCACTGACCTTTAAATTTACATGCTACTCTTATTTAACAGTAGTATCTTAAATCTAAATTACATAGCGAAAATAATAATTTATTAGCAACCACTTTGGTCAGGTTGTCTGTCGACATAGGCCTCCCCCAATTGTTTCTACGTCTCTCTATCCTTGGCAGACCTTCTCCATCCTTTTGGTAGATCGTCCTCCCATCTTTTAATTTGACCACCATTCTATGTTCTTAGCGTTAAAGTCTAACATGACAATTATGTTCTTTTTTTGCATTAATTCTGTCATGTCTTTATAAAATGTCTTTCGTTAATTTTTCTTCTCGCTCTGTGGGTGCATGTACTGTATTGAATAATGGACCATGGTTGTTTAGATTCTGTTAATTGAATATTGAGTACGGCGATTCTATCTGATATTCCTTGGAAGTTAATTATTTTATCTTTTAAATATTTTTTACTAGAAATCAATTCCATATATCCCTTTTTGTTTTCCATAAGAATAAAAATTGTATTTCTCGTATTCTTTTATCTCTTCTCCTATTCTTCTTACTTCACAAAGACCTATGACATCCCATTTTATAGGTGTTATAGCTTCAACCAATTCTTGTAGTCTGTTGTCCGACATTAACGTTCCAACGTTTATCGTTGCAACGTAAGTCTTATTGTAGTTTCTATTTTGATATAGGGATGTATTTCTATTTCTGTGGGGGATGGTGGTCGTGCAACCCCACGGGGACCAGCCGGATTGGGGTTGTTTTGTCTCTGGTTGCTAATGTGTAGTTGCTACTTAGAGTTCTTTGAAATATTAGTAATTGAGCGTGACCTTGGTCTCATCAAATCAAATGCGTTTTTTTATTTTCCTTTATTATATACGAAGAATTGCTGGTTACTGTTGTCTTTTTGGCTTGATTCTGGTTATCCGGCGAAGTTAATTGGTCTCTCTTCCTTTTTTCTTTGATTGGGTTGCCCTCTTTCACTACCAGTTGATCGTATTTAATGTATGCAGTGTTTCCTTTCGCACGTTCTTCTATTAGTTTCGGCTTTAATTCCCTTCTTTTTTCTAGTATTTCTTTAGGAAAATCTTCAGTGATGTAACCATCTTTCAGGCCTCGTTTTATTTTTAATATCACACTTTTCTTCCAGTTGTTTGCAAAACTAATGAGGACCGGTCTTATTTTATTCTCTTTTATGGTACCGATGCGGTGGATTTTTGATACATCGCTAGCTTCCAAGGTAATTTTCAAATCTTGTTTAAAAATTTCTTGGACTCTGTGGAGCAACTCAGAAGGAGAGTCCCTTTTCTCAACCAAACCAAAATACAGGACGTTGTTTCACTTTTTTTCCTTTTCGAAATACCTAATTTTCTTTTCTAATATTTCGATTTTATTTTTTAAAATTTTGTTATCATTTATAAGTGGTTCTAGTTTTATGTCCATTTTTTTCGAATATAATATTTGTTTGCTTTTCCATCTCTATTTATTATTTGGTCGAAAAGTTGTTTGAATTGTCCGTCCATTTCTTTGTGGTTTCTTCACTGGCAACACTGACGTGTATTTGACGTTTGATTTTATTGCTAATCTGTTCTATGACGTCCGTCAGCACTTCCGTCGAACGAATGTCATATGTATGCTTTAGATATTATAACCTCGAAATAATGGAGTATAAAATTATGTAAATAAAAGCGTATTTACATATAACTCCACGGTGTCTATTTCCCAAGATGTTCGGCGTCACTTGATTTTTACGTTTATTGCAGCAGATGATGTAATTGCGCTGAATAACTAGTGATTTCCAATAATTTTCGGCGGACGAATTGCAAGGTGATGTTTTTTCTGACAACCAGAGACAATACTACAATAAAATGCTTGCAACGATATCATCGATTTGTTTTTCTAGAGACGTGACGAGTTCAAAAATTTGTATTGAAACGGTTGAGATCTGTTCAGATACACTGAGATTAATTAGTAAAGTATTCGTTGAATTAATATAGGAATTAATGTTCATTAAATTTTCGTTGGTCATATGTTCATCGTATGAAATTTTTAAAATGGTATTGTTAAAGTTCGTAATAGTTGAAGAAAAAAGAAGTTGTTGTTTTAAAATATCATTCGTAGAAATTTGTTGCTTTTCTAAGAGATCTATACATTCATTATAGTATTCGGCATCTTTTGCGTCTGGTGTACCAATGAGCCATTTTAGTACTGAGCTTAGACCATCTATAAGTTCGCGCTTGAAACGCTTATTGCTTGTGTAATATTGAAATTCATCCAACCTTGAGTCTATATTTATAATACTTAATTTAATAAAAGAACTAGTAGTAACGAAGTTAGGTAAATTCGAATTTTGTTTGATTATAGAATTATAATTATTTACTAATCGTTTTAGAGAATCCCTCGATAAGAATAATGTTTCGATATCTCTGTATATAATGAGTTTCCAAGAGCTTTCCGATACTAGAATTTCACCTACTTCTTCATAATATAGTCCTGAATTAGAAGGTATATTTTGTATGTGGGTATCCCCGACAACAAAGGTTGTGGAGTACCTGAGATATGGAAATAACTACTTTGTAAAATTTGATATTGAAAGAAATATATAAATATTCAAGAATTAGACTACGACTTCTTTAGAATTAGAATTATACCTATTTGTAATTATTTTCTTTATAATTATATAAATTTTGTATAGTATAATGTAAAATAAAATTTTTATTATAGAACATATGATAAAACTAAAATAAGGATTATTCATTAGTGTATAAAACGAATGTATATAATTAGGATTCTCCTCTCCGTCGGATATAGTAATGGGAAATGCCATAGCAATTCGTAAACTGAAATAGAATTAAAATTGGTTTGTAAAATATAGTAAAAATAAATCTAATAATGATAATAATTATTCTAAAGTTTTAGGATTCGTGCAATGGTCTTAAACGATTTGCATGCACTATTTGGTTTCTCCCATTCTTTCTGATAATGTAATTTTCATTGAATCCTATTCTGATAATAAGATAAGGACTTTCCCATTTCGAATCGAAGTTATTAGGGTTAGGCACTTTGAGCATGACTTAATCGCCTACGTTATACTTAGCGATGTTTCTAATATTTTTATCATAACGTTCTTTAGCTTTTTCCTTCATCGCTTATAAGTTACGTAAAGCAACGTCACGAGAAACTTTGAGTCGTTCATTAAGATCATGTAAATAATCACAGGTTGCATATTCATTCAATTTTCTTAAAGAGTAAAGTGATCGAGGTTTATACCCGAAAAGTAATTCATGAGGCGTGAAACCCAATGATTGATTGACTGCTGTGTTATGAGATATAACTGCGAAAGGAATTATTTGATCCCAATAGCAATTATTTTTCGTATGATACAATCGTATATGATCTCTATGAGTAGCATGGAAACGTTCTATAGAACCATTACTTTGAGGGTGGTAAGCTGTGCTTAGTGTATGATTTGAACTTAACAATTTAATTAATTGTTTTATGATGCTATTTACAAATTCTGTTCCTTGAGCTGAGTGGAATCGTTTGGGAACACCGTAATGTTGATGGAAAATTAAAAGAGTCTTTGCTACGGTAATTGCTTGTTTATCTACATTAGGATAAGCTTGTACAAACCTTGTCAAATCATCTTGTAAAGTTAAGATGTACTTGTTAGAATCATTAGTAATTTCTGAATAAGAAACTAAGTCAATAGTTTTTCGTTCAAACGTTCAAAAGGTTCAGTGGTTGATGAAGTTATTACCATTGGAGCTTTATAAGTTTTTCTTTGTATCTGACTCCGTTGGCAAATTTGACATTTGTCAATGTAATTTTTAATAGTGTCGGTCATACCTTTCCAAAAATACTCTGATCGTTTTTTTGACATTTGACTCTGAAATTTTTCGTGTGGTTTCAACTATACCACGGTGACCAGACAAAGGGTCATTTTGCAAAGATTTTAAAAGGAATATCTTCAGGATTAGGAGTCTTCACATTATTTTCACATAAGTAAGTTGTAAGATAGTACTTAGTAGTAGTCTTACAATTATAAATGTCTGCTAAATAAGATGTAATATGTAGTTGTTCATTGCCTTTTAATTTACAAGTTGCGTCATCTTTTAAGTCAGGTACGTAAAGTAATTTCAAATCGTTATTCTGTAAAAAGCTAAGAAGTAACTTAAATTAACTTTCAGAATCCCAAGATCGAAATATAAGGGTCGAGAATAGTTTAAGTAAATGTTTTCTTTTTCGTTGGAAATCAATAAGTCAGTTTCGTAGTGTGTAGACTTTTTTAGAAATGGTTCCACTTGAGAACACATTGCTTTGTTGTAAAGATTGTTCTTATTGGAAATGTCACAAGAAATAGGAATAAATATGTCTTGTATGAGCGTTCAAGTATTACGTAACGAATTTTCGATTTCCAGTACTTTACACCACATAATGGTAACTTTTAGGTATAAGTCACTGGGTTGTCACGAAACGTTTTACTATTGGGTACAGAAAAACGTTACGGCGGGAGGGCATTACATGGGGGGAGGTCAATAGTCTTCAAAAATTGCGTGACGTAATACTTGAACGCTCCCTTATCTGGTGAAGTAAGTAGATTTGGGGTGTCAAAACTATAATCTGAAATTTCTGTAAAGTGTTGATAGTTTAATTGTAAATAGTCGTTGTGAGAATCGATTTAGTTCTTATCAGTACTTTTGTCACGAGTTAAGTCAATAGTATTTGTGTTAAGAATTGGGGGCCTAGAGAGTGCGTCGGCATTTGTATTATTTTTACCAGCTTTATAAATAACTTCGTATTCATATTCTCCGAGTTTGCGTGATGCATACGTGATGCATACGCAATAGGTAGATCCTTACCTATTTGCCCTTGCGATAAAACAGCGCCAATCGCATGAAGAGAAGCCTCGGTTGTTAAAATAAATTCTTTAGTAAAACAGGATATTGTAAAATAGGAGGATTGGTAAGGAGACGTTTGCATTTTTCAAAGGCTGATTGTTGAGTTTCATCCCAAACAAAAGGAACATCTTTCTTAAGGAGACTAGTTAAAAGTTAGACTACTAAAATTGTATCTGAACAGATCTCAACTGTTTCAATACAAATTTAAGAACTCGTCACGTCTCTAGAAAAACAAATCGATGATATCGTTGCGAGCATTTTATTTATTAAATCGGGAGCAGTTCATCATTCGGTCATATCTTCAGTAAGTCTTTACAAAGAATTATTAGCATCAAGTCATGCTAGAACATCACGTAACCTAGTAGCAACCGTGACTCTTCAAAACATTCATAAAATTCTTAACTCTACTACAATTACATATATGTAAAAATATATTTACCTACATGAATAAAATTATATATTTATTAAATTTTCCTTTAGTCAAAAATGACATATTTACCTTATACCATTTAATTTCAATTCCTATAAAACATCCTGAGTCCTCCTTATATTCAACAATCCTACCTGAGCACATGTATCTTGCCATGAGCAAAAACACTCAACGCTACCTGACGACGAACTCCGTGGATAAGTGTAAAGAATTCTCTCCAAACCTTCATGTATGCAGTTAGGTCTTCAACTCAAACGCACGCCGATCTGCGAAGTCTCCATCTTGCTGACGAATTCTAAAGACATACCTCAAAACTGCGAGGTATCCACATCCTCCGCGCACTTCAACACATTTTATCCATTAAAAAATAACAAATGGATTTCATACTTTCGAAGAAAATTACATATGCTATGGAATGCAACGAAAAAACTACACATGGCGAAATATTTGGACACGGAATAATTCTGCTACAACCTGCATGCAAATTTTATACACCAATGGTTACACTCATCGCTGAAGACTCGAAATCGAAAATCATAAGTCATCTCATTGTTACTGTCGACGTGGAAAATAACTGCATCGAAGGAACTCCAGATTTTTATTATCCAGAACTCTTACCTATCCAAATTAACGATGTTTCCTTAGACTCTCTCAATACTATTAAAGACGAGATCAAACATCACTCTAAAATACTAAATCAAGATAAATATATCATTCAAGAACACCCATATAATTTCACTCTAATGAGTTTATCACTTGGTTCATTCCTTCTTATTTATACTCTTTACAAGTTTTGCAATTGTTGCAACCTCTTCAAATACTTTTACCCAAGAAGAAACTCTCACCAACAAGGATGCATTAAAATATTTAATAATTGTTTCGACCAATCCCGAAGACGACAACAAATAGAAATCCCGATGTCTGCATTCAATACGACGACGACGACGACGGCTTGCATTAGCTCGGACGACGAAGAAGACAACGCCCAACAAACTTCTTCAAAAAGTTCACGCCAACAGGCGCAACCCTTATTTTAAAGGGGGAGGTATTCTGTGGTCCCCACTGTATTATTAATCTTTCTATTGTTAAATAACAATAAAGTAAATACCTAA